TAGAAGATGTACCATACAATACAGCAATCCCACTCCTTAGAATATATCCTAGAGAAATAAGAGCCGTCACACAAATAGATATATGCACACCCATGTTCACTGAAGCACTGTTCACGATAGCAAAAAGATGGAAACAACCTAGGTTCCCATCAACGGATGAATGGATAAATAAATTATGATATATTCACACAACGGAATACTATGCAATGACAAGGAACGATGAATCCACGAAACATCCCGTAACACGGATGAATCTGGAAGGCATTATGCTGAGTGAAGTTAGTCAGTCGCAAAAGGACAAATATTGTAGGAGACCACTATAATAAGAACTCAAGAAAAAGTTTAAACACAGAGGAAAACATTCTTTGATGGTTACGAGGATGGGGAGGGAGGGAGAGGGAAATTCACTAACTAGACAGTAGACAAGAATTATCTTGGGTGAAGGGAAGGACAATCTACAATACAGGGGATCTCAGCACCACTGGACTAAACCAAAAGCTAAGAAGTTTCCTGAACATGACCAAACACTTCGAGGGACAGTGTATCAGGGGCAGTGGTCTGGGACTATGGTTTCTGGGGACATCTGGGTCAATTGGCATAGCAAAGTTTACTAAGAAAATGTTCTGCATCCCACTTTGGTGAGTGGCATCTAGGGTCTTAAAAGCTAGCGAGTGGCCATCTAAGATGAATTAATTGGTCCCAACCCACCTGGAGCAAGGAGAATGGAGAACACCAAAGACACAAGGAAAATATTAGCCCAAGAGACAAAAGGGGTGACACACACCAGAGACTCCCATCAGCCTGAGACCAGAAGAACTAGATGGTGCCCAGCTACCACCAACAACCGCTCTGATAGGGAACACAACAGAGAGTCCCTGACGGAGCAGGAGAAAAGTGGGGTACAGAACTCTAATTGTAGTAAAAAGACCAAATTTGATGGTCTGACTGAGACTGGAGGAACCCCAGAAGACATGGCTCCCGGACTCTCTGTTAGCCCAGAACTAAAACCATTCCCAGGGCCAACTCTTCAGACAAAGAATAGAGTGGACTAGAAAACATAAAATGATGCTCGTGAAGAGTGTGCTTCTTAGTTCAAGTAGGTACACAAGACTAGATGGGCAGCTCCTGTCTGGAGGCGAGATGAGAAGGCAGAAGGGGACAGGAGGTAGCTGAATGGACACAGGAAATCCGGGTGGAAAGAATGAATGTGCAGTCACATTATAGGAATGGCAGCTAGGGTCATATAACAATGTGTGTATAAATTTTTGTATGAAAAACTAACTTGAACTGTAAACTTTCACTTAAAGCACAATTGAAAAAAAAAAAAAGATTTACAGCCTTGGAAACCCTATGGGGCAGTTCTACTCAGTCCTACAGGGTCACTATCGACTCCACAGCAGTGAGTTTGGGTTAGTATAAGAAAAGGCCCGAAGCCTTTTCAATGATTTAAAAGCTGCAAGTACAGCAAGTGAAGGTAATTATGAGGAAGAATCTGTTGAGAATCATTTCAAAATGAGGGTGAATTTACATAACATTACATTCACAATAGCAAAAAAATGGGAACAACCTAAGTGCCCATTAACAGATGAATGGATAAACAAATTATGTACATACATACGATGGAATACTACACAATGACAAAGAACAATGATGAGTCCACGAAACATCTCACAACATGGATGAATCTGGAGGGCATTATGCTGAGTGAAATAAGTCAATTAAAAAAGGACAAATATTGTATGAGACCATTATGATAAAAATACAAGAAATAGTTAGCACACAGAAAAAAACAATTTTTGATGGTTACAGAGGGTGGGGGTGAGGAGGGGAAATCACTAACTATATAGTAGATAAGGGGTAACTTTGGTGAAAGGAAAGACAACACACAATATAGATGAAGTCAGCACAACTTGACCCAGGCAAAGCCATAGAAGCTTCCTAGACACATCCGAACACCCTGATGGACCAAGTTACTGGGGCTGAGGGCTGGGGACCATGGTCTCAGGGGACTTCTAATTCAACTGGCATAACAGAGTTCATAAAAAAAATGTTCTACACCCTACTTTGGTGAGTAGCGTCTGGGGTCTTAAAAGCCTGCAAGCGGCCATCTAAGATACTCCTATCAGTCTCATTCCATATGGAGCAAAGGGGAATGAAGAAAACCAAAGACACAAGGAAAATATTAGTTCAAAGGGCTAATGGATTAGATGAACCGTAACCTCCACCAGTCTGAGCCTAGAAGAAGTAGATCATGCCTGGCTACCACCAATGACTGCTCTGACAGGGATCACAATAGAGGGTTCTGGGCAGAGCGGGAGAAAAATATACAACAAAATGCAAATTCACAAAACAAACAAACAAAGACCAGACTTACTGGCCTCACAGAGACTGGAGGAACTCTCAAGACTACGGCCCCTGGACTCCCTGCTAACTCAGAACTGAAGCCACTCCCGAAAGCCACTTTTCAGCCAAAGATTAGACAAGCATATAAAACAAACAATAACACACGTGAGGAACATGCTTATTATTTCAATCAAGAACATGAGAGCAAATGGGCAACACCTGCCCAAAAGCAAAGACAAGAAGGCAGGAAAGAATAGGAAAACTGGATGAATGGATATGGGGAACCTGGGGTGGAAAGGGGGAGTGTGCTGACATAATGCAGTATTGCAACCAATGTCACAAAACAGTTTGTGTATAAATTTTTGAGTGAGAAACTAATTTGTGCTGTAAACTTTCTCCTAAAGCACGATAAAATTTTTTTTTAATTTACATAATATTAAAGGGAAGTACGAGTTGTCTGTAAATCAGACGTTTGTAGCCCAGGGACTGACTGTACACCCATTCCTCACTTATCAACATGATTAGGTTCCAAAGACCAGGCCGTTATGTGAAAATCGGCATTATGTGAAAATGGAGGATGACCACATCAGATCACAAAATGCAGGATGACTACATCATTACATGACAAACAAATTAGTGTTATATAACTGTCAAGCCACTGAGAATTATGGTCCAGACAAGATGACACATAACCTTAACCACCATAGCCAGCATTACTCTTGCCTTGCACCTCAGTGTTCATTACTACCAGACATATGTTGTTAATGTGCAAAATAGTTGGATAGTAGATTTTTTATTATTGTCAGAAATGTGAAATGTCAGATAACGAGACACTTGATAAGTGAGGAGTAGGTGTATACCTCCCTAAACCCATTGCCACTGAGCTGATTCCAACTCATAGCGACCCTACATGACAGAGTAGAACTGCCCCATAGAGTTTCCAAGGAGCACCTGGTGGATCTGAACTGTCAACCTTTTGGTTAGCAGCCACTTAATCACTATACCACCAAGTTTCCATATACCTCCCTACTGCTTACAAATTCCTTCCCATCCCATCTGGAGTCACCAGATCAGTTTTTGATATGTTGGATGAAGGAGTGGCACAAAAATAATAGCTAATATTTACTGAACACTGGCTGAACAGGTTTCAGTGGAGCTTTCAGACTAAGATGGACTAGGAAGAAAGACCCGGAGATCTACTCCCCAAAAATCAACCAGATAAAATCTTATAGATCACAACGGTCTGATATGTAACCGATCTTAGTTGCAGAACCAGAAAGCATTTCGTTCTGTGGTGCATGGGGTCTGACTCAACCGCAGCTAATAACAACTGAACATTTACTGTTTGACAGGCATTGATCTAAGCCATTTACATTTATGTTTCACAAAAGACCCGTGAGGTAGGCACCAACATTGTCCCATTTACAGATGAGAAAACTAAGGCATAGAGAAATTAAGCATTGTTCAAGTTTACAGCAGTCGGTTAGTAGCAAAACTGAGATTGCAAGCAACCTGGGGCTCCAAACTCATGGCTCTCAGGCTCTTAATCACTTATTCTTTATTGCGGAATTGTCTGATAAAAACATAATGTTATCTATGTACGTAATTTTAAATTTTCTAGTAGCTGCGTTAAAAGGTCAGCAAAAATGGGTGAAATTTATTTTAAATATATTTAGCCCATTATCCAAAATATGATCATTTCTTCACTATAAATCAACACGACCAATATGATCATGCAAGAAATTTTACATTCTTCTTTTCGTACTGTTTTTAAAATCCAGTCATCTTACACTTAAACCACATCTCAGTTCAGACTAACCACATTACAAGTGTTCAACAGCCACATGTGGCTAGTGCCTACAGTACTGGACGGCGCACCTCAACTGCCTCACACGAGAAGTCTCTTGGGGGTCTAAAGAGAGGATAAACCTTTGGGCTGGCAGCCAGGAGATCTGAGCTCTTACTTGTTGAGTGACTTTGGGCAAATGTCTGCCTTCTGGACCGCTTTCCCAACAAGTACTCTGAGCAACAGGGACAAGGAGATCCCTAGGGTTCAATCCCATGCTTTTATTCCAAACATCTCCCAACAACAGCTGTTAACATGGGTACAGCTTTCTATACTTTAAAATCAGCCTTCACATCCATCAGCTGACAAGAGTCCTCAAACAACCCTAAAGCCGTTACCGTCGAGTCGATTCCGACTCATAGTTATTGCTGCCTCTATAGTTCCAAAAACTGAGGCCCAGCGAGGAAGAAATGACTTCATTCAAAGTCACACAGCCAATCAGTGGAGACTCTGGAGCTCCAAACCAAGAAAAGCCGGCGCTCCTCTCAAAGACTGAGGGGAGAAGGGAGCTGAGAGGGGTGGATGTGAAGACAGGGTAGTTTCGGGCCTTTACAGAAGTTCAGGGGAGCCCGGCCTCTGGGTGGGGTGAGCGGGGCCCACACTAGAGTGAGAAAAGGTGATGGGGCTAAGGCTTTGACAAGGAACTAACTGAAAGGCCCAAGGGGGTTCCTACGAGAGTGAAGTGAAATGAGAGGCTCGGACCCAGGGTGGCAGGCGGAGAAGTGAGGGGGCCAGGCCCCAGAACGAAGTGAGAGTAGGTGCGATGAAGAGACCCTGGTTCTGGAATCCCGGCCCTGTCCGCTCCTTATACCTGGTAGCTCAGAAGTTCTCCCACGTCCATGGTTCCCGGCCCAGCCAACGCTGGCTACGCGGGTTCACTCCTCTCAACGCTGAAAACGCGGCCCCCTCGCAGCCGCTCCAGCCACACTGCCGTAAAGCGCCGTGAGCCGGCCTCAGAGACAGTGGGGTAAAAGTGCGCACGACTAGCAAGCGGGCCACACTGCGGTAAAAGACAGCGCCACCGTAAAGCGCGCTGCATTTAGGACAGTACCGTTTCCGCCTGAAGCCTGAGCGAGGCGGGGAAGGAGGGTGGACACCTGGAGGAGAGAAGGTGAGAGGAAAGACTGAAAGGAGTCAGAATTTACTGCGCAGCCCCTAGGTGTAGGGCGGAGTGCTGGGTGTTTCATATGTGCTCTCACAATGCTTCCTGGGGTATTTTATCCTCACATTATCCTCAGATGAAGGAGCACTGGTGGTGCAGTGGTTAAAGCGTTGGGATGCTAACAGAAAGGTTGGGGGTTTGAACCCACCAGCCACACCGGGAGAAAGATGTGGTAGTAGTCAGTTTGGTTTTTTGGGGTTTTATCCTCAGATAGTTTTTCACAGATAAACTGAGGCATTGCCCTGTACCTACCCGCTGACCACACGTGGCTGGCAAGCACTTGGTATATGGCTAGCCCAGATTAAGAGGTACCTTGGGTGTTTGAGCTCAACTACCAATGTAAAGATTGGTGGTTGAAACCCACCCAGTGGTGCTGTGGAAGAAAGGCTTGGAGATCTACTTCCCAAAAATCAGCCGTTCAAAACTCTATGGAGCACAATTCTACTCTGACACACGTGGAGTCACCATAACTCTGAGTGGACTCCTCGGCAACTGTTTTTTGTTTTTTATTTTTTAAACAAGAGATGATGCATGCAGAGCACTTGGCACAGTGCCTAGCACAGAAAAGTGCTCAACGTTTGATATTAATATTATGAGGAATTGAGTGGCATGGGGAGGGAGAGAGATGAAGGCATATTTAGAGACCTGGCCTTAAAACATGGAATCATAAAGCAAAATCCTGTGAGAACCAGGTTCAGTGAGCACCCTGGAATGGAGATAATCTTCTCAACCAGCGAAAGTGTCCCAGAGGAGGTGCCATTTGGACATGGATGTAAAGGAGGAGAAGAATTTACCAAAGGAACATTGTGAGAGAAAAGTGGCTCAGTCAGAGGGAATACATGAGCAAAGACATTGAAGTCAGATCATTCCTTGTAGACAGAGCGTAGGGTGTGTGGAGGGGATGGTGAGAAGTAAGGCAGGGGGAGGCTGCTGGGAAAGATCATGGATAGGGCCGCCAGATTTAGCAAATAAAGACACAGGATGCCCAGTTAAATCTGAATTTCCAATAAACAAATTTTTTTTTATAAGTGTGTCCCGTACAATATTTAGTAATATACTAAAAAAAAATTGTGTTGCTCACCTGAAATTCAAATTTAACTGGACTTGCTGTATTTTACCTGGCAGCCCTAATCATGCAGGATCTTGAGTGCCCTATTAAGGTATTTGAATTTTATCTTGATGAAGTAGTCCATTAATAGTTCCTGTGGAACCTCCCAGGGGATAACAGCTTGGGCACTCACCCTTCAGGTCTCAGCTTAAATGTCAGCACATCAGAGAAACCTTCCCTAACTTCGAGATCTAAGACAGTCAATCCCTCTGCTCACTAATCTTTATCACTATCCCTGATCATTATCTTCAAAAACACTTATGGGTTGTGGATTTGTTTGTTTTTTCATTTAAAGACCTAACCTTAAAACATAGAATCTTATGTTTTACTTATTTTTTACTCATTTGAGGTCTGTGTTCCCTTCCAGATACTAAGCTACAGAAGGCCAGAGTTTGTTGTACTATTCACCCTGCTAACCTAAGAATCTACACAATACCTGGCACTTAACTGGCACTTATTGAAGACTTGTTGGGAGTCCCTGAGTGTTGCATACTGTTAACACACTTGACTGCTAATCAAAAAGTTGGAGGTTCAGGTCCACTCAGAGGCACTTCAGAAGAAAGGCCTGGTGATTTACTTCTAAAAAATCAGCCACTGAAAACCCTGTGGAGCACAGTTCTACTCTAACACACATGGGCTCACCATCAGGCAGAATCAACTCAACAGCAGCTGGTTTTAAAAAGTTGTTGGTATAATAAATGAACCAATGTATCTATTGATTCATTCATTCTTGGCCAAAATACTATCAAAAACCTTCAAATTCAGTTGCCGAGGCTGCTTATGTACAACCAAACACCTCATGGGATTTGGTTCCTTGGTTTGGAGATTTAGGATCATGGTTTCATAGGACATTCCAGTTAATTGACCCATTAACAGAAGTCGTTAGTGCTTCTGTTCTACCTCCTAGTTCGTTGCATAGTGTCTGAGGTGTTAAAAGCTTATAAGCAGCCATCCAAGGCACAATAATTGGTCTCTTTCCACCTGGAACAACAGAGGAAGAAGGAGAGTCAGGAATACGAGGAGGATATGGAATGTGTAGCTAATTGCCTCCATGAACAATTGCCTCCTTTTCCATGAGACCGGAAGAACTGGATGGTACTTAGCTACCATTACTGAACATTTTGATAAAAGATTCCATGGAAGAATCCTGATAAAAAACGGGAAAATGCAGGACAGAATTTCAAATTATCATGGACTCTAGACTCTCTGGAGCCATTGAGGGTGGATTAACCCCTGAAATTACTGCCCTGAGATAATCTTTAAAACTTAAACCAGGGGGCGGGGCCAAGAGGGCACAGTAGTCAGACACTTCTGGTAGACCCTCTTACAACAAAGACCCGAAAAAAACAAGTGAATCAGTTATATATGACAATCTAGGAGCCCGGAACATCAAAGGCAAAATTGAGGTACCAGAACAAGTGGCAGGGGGAGGGAGAGACGGTGCGGAAGCAGTGAGGAGTTGCCAGACCTGACCTGGTGAGAGCCTGAGCCTTTCAGGCGTGATCAGCTCATGGGTGAATGGTGAGGCAGGCAGGCAAAGGTGCCCGGGAGGCGTATTCCACACCAGGAGGGACCGAGCGACAGATAGTCTGCTTGGCCAAACAGAACCCGTGAGAAGCAGACCCTTGATCAACAAAAGATAAGTACTTGCGTCCAGCCTACAGCGTGGATCAAAAACACCCCCCTAAGGGAAAAACTTCTTTCCCATTTACCTCCCCACTCACTGCTCTGCACTGGGTCCCAGGCCAGCTTCAGCAATTGCCGAGTCCCCTAGGCCAGAAGTAGGATCCGTCACACGCCCGGAGCCATTCTCCCAGCTGTGGAGAATGAACAAAGTAACAAACGGGAAAAAATAAACTACCAGCTCCCCTAAGCCAGGAACTCAGGGTAGGCACAGCTCCTTTGCCTAGGCACAGGCATAAGGGATCCACGGAGTTTTGAGTGCCTTTCCCCCTGTCACCCTGCATAGACTTGTGTGGGCCCATCTCAACAGCATAGGCCTTCATTACTGCATTACAACAGGGTACATACCAGAAGTCTAACTTCAGCTGTTTCCGCTGTGAAGTGGCAGGTTCATGACATTTGACACTGCCCATTAAGCAGGGTCTTCACCTACCCACATCAAGGGCCTGAGGACTGGTGGCTGCACCCACACCACCTACCCACCTGTGATAGGGGCCCAAGAATAAGAGGTGCCCCCCAGTCCTTACAGCCAACAGCACTGGGTGCTCATTGTCCAGCTGCAAAACCCACCCACCTACGTGCTCTAGGGAACAGGAACACGCCTTCCTCCTGGACACTCGGGCGCAGCCATCAGCCCCCCTGCCTTGTTAAGAGTATGTCCCCCTGCTGTAGCCAGATGCCTGTGCCTACACCAGTCACCTATGCCTGTCTAGGACTGCAGATGATAGCCTGCACTGCACACTTGGTGGCTATATACCTGGGCACCTGAGCTGAATCCGTACAGCAGGAGTGAGCAGACTCCTGAGCTCCATACCTAGTAACAGATCTAACCACCTGATGACAGGACATTAGAGCTTCAAAGGTGCAAATAATCAAACTAGCTCACACGAGCAGCCTATTTGGGCATATCAAAAGAAGAAGCTAGGGCACAGTAAGCAAACATAAATTAATATAACTTATTGATGGCTCAGAGACAACAGTCAATATCAAATCACATAAAGAGGCAGTCCATGATGACTTCAGCAAGCTCCCAAAATAAAGAATCTAAAAATTTTCCAGAGGAGGAAAATTTCTTGGAATTACTGGAGGCAGAATACAGAAGATTAATATACAGAACTCTTCAAGAAATTAGGAAGGAAATTAATCAAAACGCAGAACATGCAATAGAGGAAATTAAAAAGATTAGAGAAGAGCATAATGACAAATTTAACAGGCTGCAAGAATCCATAGAGAGACAGCAATCAGAAATCCAGAAGATTAGCAATAAAACTTCAGAATTAGACTACTCAACAGAAAGTCATAGGAGCAGAATTGAGGCAATGGAAGTCAGAATTAGTGAGATAGAAGATAAAGCATTTGACACCAATTTATTTGAGGAAAAATCAGATAAAGGAATTTTCAAAAATGAAGAAACCCTAAGAATTATGTGGGCTCTATCAAGAGGAATAACCTACGAGTGACTGGAGTACCAGAATGGCGGGGGTGGGGGGGAGTAACAGAAAATACAGAGAATTGTTGAAGATTTGTTGGCAGAAAACTTCCCTGATATCGTGAAAGATGACAAGATATGTATCCAAGATGCTTATCGGACCCCACATGAGGTAGATCCCAAAAGAAAGTCACCAAGACATAATCAAACTTGCCAAAACCAAAGATAGAGAATTTTAAGAGCAGCTAGGGATAAACGAAAAGGCATCTACAAAGGACAGTCAATAAGAATAAGCTCGGACTACTCAGCAGAAACCATGCAGGCAAGAAGACAATGGGATGACATATGTAAAACCTTGAAGGAAAATAACTGCCAGCCAAGAATTATATATCCAGCAAAACTGTCTCTCACTTATGATGGCGAAATTAGAGCATTTCCAGATAAACAGAAGTTTAGGGAATCTGCAAAAAACAAACCAAAATTACAAGAAATACTAAAGGGAGTCCTCTGGTTAGAAAATCAGTAACATCAGATAACAACCCCAAGACTAGAA